ATGACCATTTATAGGACTTCAATTGGTCTTTGATCAGGTGATTACTAGTCGGTATTGATTAGATTGTGTGGGCTCAGTATATTCTGGCTCCCATTGACCTGTACCATAATGTGAACTGGGGAAGTAAAGAATGATCTATGGTCAGACAGGTAGGAATTTCCTACATAACAGATGAGAATGAGTAGGTACATCCCTATCCATGTAATTTTTAACTTAATTATTTGGTATCACCAGTTCATCTAATTTTATAGAGTAAATGATGGAAATGTTTATACAAGCAGATAACATGTATTTATCATCACGAATAAGGTGTTCTTAAGAAATTTATCTCTGTCATCTAGTTAATGCTAAAAAGAAGACATAGATCATGCATTTAAACACTAAGGTCACTTCTGCAAGACATTCTCCCTCATTTTTACTAGTAGCTAACACTATCAGTAAGTTACATTTTTCACTTATATAAGAATATAGTTTATAATTATTTTATTTTGTAGGTATACCATGAAGTTACATTGTTTAAACTAAAAGTTCTTTGGTGGGTAGTGAAACATCATTAAGTTAAGGAGGCATTTTTATTTCAGCTGGTGAAATAAAAATTTCTATTTTTATTTCATTTATTTTCAGGCCCTATGTGTTCAGCCTTTGCCCATTTGTGTTTTACAGCATATTCAAAATTGGGTTCCTATGGATAACCTTAGTCTTATCCACAGGTATAAATACAGCTTAAATAAAACATTAGAATGGGAGCTGATGTGAGGGTCTTGTCCTGAGCCACTACTGCATTCAGGCAATGGCCACTTTGACATTTATGGGCTCTGTAGAACCTTTCCTAGTAATGATAATTTTTCTTTGGTTTTGTTTTGTATCTTGCTGAACATTTTGAAATGTTTACTATTGTAGAACAATGACTTGTATTTTATAATGTATATAGTATTTGGGAATGCTTTTTTAACAATTTTAACTTCTTTCCCCTTTGAATCTTTTGAGGAAGTCAGGTCCTCATCCTATGATGCTGTGTTTATACACATCAGCTCAACTGGGAGCAGAAGTGGGGTGTCCTTGTCTTCAGGTGTGTGCCTTGTCAAGCTTTAATATTCATAAAAAGGATGTTAACATTAGATTAAGACATGCTGGTCTTTACAGGGAGCCCTGGTGGAGCAGTGGTTAAGAGCTCAGGCTGCTAACCAAAACATCAGCAGTCTGAATCCACCAGCTGCTCTTTGGAAACCCTCTGGGGCAGTTCTATTCTGTCCTATAGGGTCACTATGAGTTAGAATCGACTCTGTAGCAATGGGTTTGGTTTTTCAAGAACTAGTTCTATACCAAAGAAGAATTAATGCCTTTGGATTGTGGTGTTGGCAAAGAATACTGAATATACCATGGACTGCCAAAAGAACAAACAAATCTGTCTTGGAAGAAGTACAACCAGAACGCTCCTTAGAAGCAAGGATAGGGAGACTCCTCACATATATTGGATATGTTATCAGGAAGGATCAGTCCCTGGAGAAGGACATCATGCTTGGTAAAGTACAGGGTCAGTGAAAAAGAGGAAGACCCTCAGTGAGATGGACTGACACAGTGTCTGCAACAATGGGCTCAACCATAACAACAATTGTGAGGGTGATGCAGGAATGGGCAGTGTTTTCATTCTGTTGTACATAGTGTTGCTATGAGTCAGAACCGATTCAACAGCACCTAGCAACAACAACAACAGCTCTATACTTATGGCCACATAGAATAACTGCTCTCCAGATACTCATTGTTAAATATAGTCTTGAAGTACCTGCATCCCAATTCCTTTTCAAAGATTCATTGAGAGAAATAATATATGTGGAGGTTTGCAGTAAGAAGGAGAGGTTCTAATTGTGTTAATAGATTAAGGCAATAATCAAAAATCTATGTACCTGTCATATAATCAAGCGGGCAGCATTTACATTTAGGGTTTCCTGTCATTATAGTATTATAATAGGGGGCTCTGGCTTCATAGCAAGCCCTGCAACGTCATATGTTTTTATACTCATGAACAAGGAAGATGGCTCTTAGTAAATGTTGCACCACATGATTTGAAATATTGAACAATTAGTTAACTTGATTTATCAGCACTGTATTATATATGTTGTTGTTATTGTTATTAGGTTACCATCCAGTCGATTCTGACTCATAATGACCCCATGGGACATTGTAGAACTGTCCCATAAGATTTTCTTGGCTGATCGCCAGGTCTTTCTCCTATGGAGCTGCTGGGTGGGTTCAAACAGCAAACCTTTAGTTAGCAGCTGGGTGCTTAACAGTTGCACCACCAGGGGTCCTTATATATTAAACAACAACAACAAAAAAAAAAACAAACCTTGCTGTCAGGGTTTTTTTCTGACTCATAGTGATCCTATAGGACAGAGTAGAACTGCTGATAGGGTTTCCAAGGAGCAGCTGGTGGATTCGAACTGCCGACCTCTTGGTTAGCAGCCAAATGCTTAACCACTGCACCACCAGATGAAATGATCTATTCATTTACCCCTTTCATGAGGGAAAAAGCAGAATGAGAAACCAGATTTTCCAACTTCTACTCCAATATTTTGTTTTGTTTTTTTCCTCCTATTGCTCCATTCATTGATATTAATAGCTTTAGAAATCAATAACATCAGCAAATTCTCCATGCATAGTGTCTGGGCTGGCAAGATATCCTCTTTATTATCCTGTCTCTAAAGTGACTTCTTAAAAACCAGCTCCCTGGATTACATAGTTGGAACAATTAAAGATGAGATTTGTTTTTTACCAATCAACGTCTGTTTGGCACCAGTGATTAATACAGTATTCCTTCAGTTGGTAAGTTTCTTTATACTGGTGAATAAAGTCTTGATAAATTATTAGGCAATGAACATACACTTCAAAATCAAGATACACCTGTGCAACAGACAACGTAACAAATTTAAAGACTGAGAGATGTACACATAAGTTCATTTTATTCATTGAGAGAAAATGTAGCTTAAGTGTGGTTGACTTTTTATGACATTTATTTCGTTCTTGAATTGACTGACAAGCCTATTAATGTATTCCCTGAACTTTATTAATGTAATTGGAAAAATGCCCATATGTCAATCAAATTCTAATAAGTAATTATGTTCATAAATACTGTAAAATTATTAGCTTTTAATTTGACTGAACCACATACTCTCAAAACACTAACATGGATTTTCTTTTTATAAAGGAACAAGGTATTATATTGAAAAGGTGTTAAAAATTTCACTCCTAACTGCAAGAAAGTTCACCATCATCAAATGGTCGGTAAAAAGAACATCACATTAGGCATGTAGCATTTTAAAACATTTGAACAGCCTTAAACCATCTAGGCAATATAAAGTTATAAGAATATTCTATGAGAATTAAACATGTGCCTGGGCAGGGCCTATATATGTATATCTCTAAATCTCTCTCTCTACCTCTCTCTCTATATCTATACCTAACATGAAAAAACAGAATGAAAAGACAGAGGGGCATGTTTAGTGTTTAGAAATGTATCATTTAAAGCTACAAGAAGTAAAATGTCTGTATCTTAAGTCACTTAAATATGTTATTATCCAAGTACGTTTTTTCGCATGTAATAAAAAATACTTTATAGTTTTTGAGCTACAAACTCAAGTCAAAGAGTGCAGAACTGAACAAGAGAACAGGATTCAGCACGAATAACACAAGAAATGTGTTTTTTGTCATGTAATCACATGTCAGTTTTTAAAGCTGGACAATCTCCTGCCCTCTGGATAATCTCTGAATAAAGATGGACTTTTGTGAAAGCTTTATTATATTTTAGTATGCCACTTTAAATAATGAACATCACCAGAGTCTGTAATAGTCTGTATTAAGAAAGACCACTGAGGAAATTCATTGTCTTCTTCAATTTACATTTACCTTCTTAACATTAGTTGTTTAATTAAGAAATTTAACCTCTATCACAAAGTAAAAGTATTTATTAATAAATAAAGCTGTATTTGAATTTGGGATTACCTTTATGTAAGGAAATAAACTCAGTTAATAAATTTAGTTCTATTTTATAAATTATTAATCTTTTTGAAATAAAAGCTAGGAACTTAAATTAATACTTAGCCTTGATTTATTGAAAGGTAAGCTCAGAGTACCTAACAGTACAACTAACTTGCTTACTCAGCTTTCCTGTTATGAATAAAACATGCATGCACTGGCACAACATTATCATATAATTTGTCATTACTTTCACTTAGAATATTACATTGCCATTTTTAGTTCCATATAGCATAATATTTCTACATAACAACACATGATTATTCTAGAAAGCACAAGAAAACAGTGTGAAAGGACAAAAATATATATTCTCCATTCTCCTAGCAATATAATATATATGCTCTTACATTTTAGTATGCAAGAGAAATAAAATAACTTTAATGATTCTGTTAGAATTTGTAGATTGTAGGTTAAATAGTATAATTTATGATCTGCTGAAAGTAAATCAAAATATGAACAGTGTATATCACATTTTTTCAGTTACTCTGTACTTAAATAAAGTAATTCCAGAAGGCTGCCGCTTTTCATTGTAACGTGAATCAAAGTAAACAGAAGTGGGATTGAGACAGAATGCTGGAAGTCTGAAGGATTACTTTTAGAGTTACTGTCCATATTTCAACAAGTTCTAATATTTTAATTTGTCCATCATGAGTTCTCAAATGTTTATTTTAATGTATCCATCATAGGTTCTCAAAGATTTATGGAATAGAACTCAAAGAAAGATACAAAGTGAATCATATAGAAAAATCAGGATGTGATGTTAATGGGTATTTCTTGCTCTCGATAAGTGGGGATTTGTATGCCTATAATAGCCATTACACTTAATGGAGTCTAGGAACATAAATCTCTAAAGACAATGACAACAAATCTTTCAACGTTGTTAGTTGCTTCTTAGTCATTTTCATATTTAAATATTGATCATTTCTAAGCATAATCCTTCACAACATAGCAGTTATGGAAATGCATACCTTGCACAGTTAAATGCACCTGCATTGTTCTCGGTGTATGTTGAGTCTGAACAGAGCACGTGTATGGGCCATCGTCTGTCACATCTACATTCTGTATCTGGAGGCTGTAGTCCCTTTTATTCAATGTTGAGATTGAAACTCGAGGATCCACTGACCACTTATCACCTCCCGCAAAAATAATACTTGATCGGTTCAGCCAGGCACCCTTTGAAGCTCCATCTTCCAAATAACACCTACAGATTACCAGAAAGAGAACACTATTAATCAAAATGAAAATGAGAGACATTATCTTTGTTCTGAGTACACTTCCATATGCTGAATAATAGTGCAGCATCAAATGCAAACATCAAGCATAAACACAGGAGACATGAACACACTGAAACACCTTCCATTCCCAATGCAAATGTGAAAAGATACCTACATACAGTTGTTGTTTCGTGTGTGTGTGTGTGTGTGTGTGTGTGTGTGTGTTGTAATTCAAAGCCAGTCAAAATCCTCTTTCATTCTCTCTGGGCAATAAATAAATATAAATAAAATTAAATTAGTTCAAATAACACTTTTCAATATTAAAACACATTTCTCTGTTTGAAATTGTAAGAAGTATGAAACATCTAAGAGTTAGCCTAGTTTAATCCAGTCCAATTCTGAATATAATACGTCAGATTCAGAGAACACAGAATAAAACCATATATAGGCTTATTTTTTAAATAAGTGGGGATTTTATGCATTTGCTGAGTGGTAAACGTATACAATAAAACTATAAATTGCATTTTACTGATGCTATTGCTGTCATGATTGAATGTAACAAGACTAATATATTAGTATTTTAATATAATGACAGAATTTTAGCAAAATTCTTGATGTTTTCAATAAACTGCCCAACAGATTTTCCAGGAGCATTCATTTGTCCAACAAACATTTATGTAGGCTCTATTATTTATGGGTTCAAAAAGATAATTGCCCACACTCTCCAAAACATGTAGTCTACTATGGAGGACAGTCAAACAAAACAGTTATTACAAAGTAGAAGAATATTATGATCAAGGCCTGCACATGAGAGTCAAAGGAAGGCTGTTTGACCCAGGAAGGATATTGGAGGTGTGGACAAAGGGATAGCAAATGCCTGAGATAAACAGGTGAGGAGTGGAAGACCTGGCATTCTAGACAGAATGTGCTACATATAGGCAAGAATAGGGAAAGACAAGAGAGAGCCAGGCATATCAAGACAGTAAAAACAAGCATGGCATATAGGGTAGGCAGAATGAGAGATGAAATTGGAGAGGTAAACCAGAGCCAGAGGATGATGGTAAACATGATGACAATTAGTGGATTTTAAGGCCAACTTTGAAGCCATTTATTTAAAGCCACATCCTATAACAAGATTTTAAAATCTAGCTTTGTATCAAGTCAAGACGAACGTGGTCATATGCCAGTGATTTTGCTGAGGCTTGGAATTCTATGTTTCATCTGGAAAATGTTTTCTTACAAATTAAAGACTGGTTCTCTTAAACTAGTACAAAGCACTGCTACAGAATGAAAATACACATACATCGAAATAGTTTGACAGCATTTCTACAGAATACCTTGGGGGATTGAACACAATGTTTGAGATTGCTACAAAACTGCAAGCTGAATGCAACAGGGTAGGCAGCTGCCAACTGTACGAAACTAATCCGTGGGTAAAAAAATAAGGAACAAGGTATATTGCAGAATCTAATTTGCAGTCAGCTTCACCATCTACAGAATCCAAACTAGTAGAAGTCTTAGAGGTCATTGTTAATTGAAAAGCTTTTCCTTATATATTAAATAAAGAAAGTAAAACCTCCTTTAATGATATAATTAAACAGTTGTAGTATATTGTCATTCTTAATAATATGAGGAAAGAAGGTAGAGAGATGTATTTCCCATTTCACAAGATCATGTTGTTGCTGGTACAGGGTAGAGCTCTGAAGGTCCTCTGCCGAGACTGATAATTCCCACAGCATGGGTCATTTAGTATCTGGATTCATCAAATGTATTTTGTGTGACTTCTCCATTAGTGGCCCTCATGTTATCCCGTTTGGTGCTCACAACAACTCTGCAGCATATGAATTGCTATACCCAATGCATCAGAAGAAAATAAATGGAGATGTTTAAGTTAAATGACCTGTCCAAGCTACAAGATTAGTTGGTGGCAAAGCTGAATTCATACCCAGGTCTTCTGTTTACATATTCAATGTCTTTTCCACCGTAATGCAGATCAAAGACTTTTGAAATAGGATTCAGAATCAAGAAGATGACTAGAATGTTGCAGAAATGACTGCAAGTAAGTTCTTATTTACTGAATGTGCCCAACTGCTTAACCTGCCCTGCTCTAAAGGAAGTAGTAAATTAATTATTAATGGATATTTTACCATGAAAGTCTGATTTAGAACACTCTGACTGGTATTTCCCTTTCCCTAGAGACAACAGCGGCTTTACCTTTATTCTGGGGGCATCAGGAAGACCACAGAAATTAACCAGCCCTTATATACTAGAGGACTTGACCTGGGTTATAACTTCTTACCTTAGCGCAAGCACTACTCTTCTGATCTGGCGTGTCAGAGGCCATCAAAGAAGAATAGGACTTAACTTCTTCAGTGTAAAAATAAATAAAGAAGTTCTTTATGACTCCTTAGAGCCCCGGTGGTGCAGTGGTTAAGAGCTATGGCTGCTAACCAAGAGGTCTGCAGTTCGAATTCACCAGTCACTCCTTGAAAACCCTATGGGGCAGTTCTACCCTGTCCTATAGGGTCGCTGTTAGTCGGAATCGACTCGACGGCAACGGGATTGGTTTTTTTGGTTTTTCTGACTCCTTGCCTTGGGAAGCTATGTTATCATAATTGCCATTTTTCCCAATCCAAACCTCTTCAAGACATACATTAAGATGGCTCCCAAATGAAACTCAGAAAAAATTTTTTTTGGTATTACTTCACCTGAATATCTGTAGAATTATTCTCAAACTATTGAATTAGAACCTAAATAACTCAAATGACCATATATGGAAGTTAGAAATTGGGAATAGCCAGGGCCTCCTGAGCATGGCTTTTCATTTTATAAAATCATAAGACACTTATATACAGTATATGTAGGTTTAAGGTCAAGTATGATCTTATACATATGTGAAATAGGCCAAACACGTGTGTATGTGTGTGTTCAAGAATGACAAAGTATGCTATGTATGGGCAGGAATAGCCATCATGCAGAACAGGAAGCAATAAATGTCATAACTGTATTGTTGTTGTGACTGGATTATTGTGATTGCCTTTGGGTCTCCGGCTTCCGCTCTTAGCCCCTATGCCAGGTCCACTCTGCTCACAAAAAACAGAATGAGAACCTTTTAGAATGTAAACCAGACATCAACAACTCCAAGATCACTGATGGGGGCATGACGAAGCAACAGTCCTCTGGTCACAAACTAAGATCTTTTTTTAAAAAAAACCCTTTTTACTTTAAAATAGAACATTTTAACAGATAGTGATCTTAGGATCCCTTTGAAGCATAGGCAATCATAAATATTCTGAATAAAAATGTTAAACAATGAATACATGCTTTAATTGAGTATGGCATGTCTTTTCTCAAAGGTGTTTTTTTTCCCCCCTTAAAAAATATCTGCTGGACAACCTACTTTATAGGGAGATGAGTAAAGCAGTTCCAAAAACATAGTCCTCAGTATAAGCTGTGTTAACACCATACCAAATACCATGACAAATAGTTAAACTTTCAGTCAATCATCTGGATGTTTTGTATACATACATATTTCCGAACATCTGGCTGTTGGAAAATGTAGAGAAAATAGGCTGAATATTTAATTTTGCTTTATGGTTGTTAATTATATAAACCCAGGCTCAAGATAGTTAATGCTTTTCTGATAAGGACAGCACTGCAGCTTCTAACCTCTTTTAAGGAGCACCTTTACTACACATTAGATGAGGTCTCCATCTATTATTAGTGTATGAAGTCCCATCTGGTGAGTTGCTAGTTGATCAGAGAGATATCAGAACAATTCTACCTTGATAGAGTGTGAGAAAAATGTAGAACTACAATCAAATTCCTAAAAAAGACCAGACTTAGTGGGCTGCTAAAGACTAGAGGAACTCCCAATATTATTGCCCTAAAATGCCCTTTTAACTTGGAACTAAAGCCTTTCCCAAAGGTCTCCTTTCAGCAAATAACAGATTGGCTTATAAAATAAACAACATCACCCGTGAGGAATGTGCTCCTTTAAAAAATCAACTATATGACAGCAGATGGTCAATATTTACCCAAAAGCAAACCAAGAAGGCAAGGAGGGTCAGGGAAGCTAGATAAATGGAAATAGAGTGAACAAAATGGAAATAATGAAAACACTGACCATTGTGAAAATTGTAACCAATGTCACAGAACAATTTGTAAAGAAGTCGTTAAATGGGAACCTAATTTGCTGTGTAAACGTTCACCTAAAATACAATAAAATATTCAAAATAAATAATTTTTTAAAAATAACAATTCTAACAGATTCTGTCTGTGAGATGATCTCCTGTGATGATTAGCTCTGAAAGGTGGACATCAGAGAGTTTAGTGGAAATTAGGAATTTAGGTGATTTATTACTTTTTAAGGTCTGTTAAGAGAAAAGCCTGTGGCTGCTTAGAAATTATTTTGTCCTTTCATATCTCTAACTCCCTGTAACACATTCCAAAAACCTAAGCATTAGCACCATTACCAGCACCAAACACAGCAGCATTTATTCAGCTCTATGGAAAGAGACCAGCTCTTCTCTAGACATATTGATTAATGAAAGCTGCCTTTAAAGGCACTAATTAAGAAAAGAAGAAGAGTACAATTTCCCTTGGATTACAAAGGTAAGCCATCTCCCTATGAAGGGATTGGCTGGCTACCTTCACAGCTGTCTCTTCATTGTGTTAGAAAGTTCTAAATATGACAGGAGGAGAACTTTCAAAAGCATACATAAAAAAAAAAAAATGAAAAATTCACAACCCCATTCAACATCCACGCTAATTCTCCCCACAAAGAGAATTTTGACATTCTGGCTTCCAGGCCAAAATGAGGTAAAGGAAGTAAAGCAGAGATTAATTGGAATTGGACGAATTCTATCATCACGCCCACCTGCCTTTGTTTTTGAGGATCTCTTCTAATGTCTTTCCTGTCAATTTTTCCCTAGATAACAATATAATTGAATGGTTGGTTTAATATTTTAATTTCTAGTTTCCAACT